ATACGGCCACTCTATCACCCCTTTTAATGCCCAACCCTTTCAACACATTTGCAAATTTGCAGACATCGCGCAGTAATTCATTGTAAGTGATTTGTTTGTGTGATTTATCATCATTGGATTCCCTATTATTTTTAAAATTTAACATTTTGTCAATATTATTAAAACTTTTATCTAACCTTTAACTTACAAACTTATATTAATGATAAATTTTGTACAATATTTGAGTAGCATTTGATTTCTTACAGTGATTGGGATTATATTTTTAAATTAACTAAAAATGTTATATAAAAATATTACATGTTTTAATCTGCTTATAGTCAATTATTTTAAACCTAGTTCATTAAATACAAAATTAAACTAAATTCTCGTTTCACGTCCAAGAATCACGTATTTTCAAAATAAGATGCTTATTTATAAAACTACAATTTGTAAAACACTAACCAATAATATGCGACACGATTTCCGAGTCCTTTATTGACGCACAAATCCAAGACATTGTAAGACATATTGGTTTGACATCCGTCTAACCATTTGACACAAACGGGTCCTTTAGTGACATCGAAATTATAGGACACGACCTCTACTTCTTGTGGCCATAGCTTCCAGAAGAAGTGATTCGCGATTTCCATCCAAAAGCCTTCGGGATCTGAGACTGACTTCTGGTATAGTTTTGTGTACTCATCGATGGACGAGATGTGAGCCGTCGAGCGGTACTCAGAGGACGCATAATAGACAGTATTGTCACTCAGTTTACTGACAGCCATCAAAATGTATCACTTTTTCTATATGTTTAAACAATTACTTTTTAAAATAGATACTGTATATATTTAAATATATAAAATTATTACAATTTGTATTTATTAATAGTATTAATAATTATAATAAATTATTAAATTGTATTGAAAAATTTTCACAATTATTTAATTTACTGTATAAATAAATGTTGCACATTAATTTAGATGTATATAAATATAACAATTAATTAATTAAATATCTACTATACTCTACAATATTTTACAATACAATAAGACTAACAGGATTTTTATAAAAAAAATTGTAGTATGCATTATAATGTTATAGAAATAATTTTTTATTTAAACAATGACACTTTATTTTTAATAAATCATTAACAAATAATTTGTTTATGTCATAAGCAAATAAACAAAAGCATCTTTAATGATAAATATGATGAATTAAATTAATTAAAAAATAGTATTTTTCAAATTGTTATAGACTATAACTTATAACTCAGGTACTTAGCTCAGGTAACAGATTAATTTTATTTAAAATGTATTATTTTTAAGTTTTAGTTATGGAGAATATTATTAGTTAATTAATTACATTAAATAAAATTAACTGAAAATTTCCATATCTTTTCCATATTGTAAATTCTTATTTCCATATCTATATCTATTAGCGATACAAATATGCTAAAAATATTATATTTTAAAACTTTGTATTTTTAGGCTTATAAGCTATAAACTGACTACAAATCAATATTGTCTTCAAACACCAGACACTAAACTTGTAGTGATTTTAAAATGTTAATTGCGTTAAAATTTAAATGTTTGTTATATAATGTTGTTAAATAAAGCCTTATAGATGTATAAGTTATACATTAATTATTATTCATAAGTATTGAACTCTATGGGACTGGTCGGGTCTGTTTGGGATACTAGTTTCATTTATTAAATAAGTATAATATTATTTTGAAAAATTACTTCTACAAATTGTACACGTAAATATTATAATAGCAACTTACTTTTTGTTTTTTGATCTTGACAATTAATGCTGATTAACATTCATCGAACGTCATTACAAGTATTAGTTGTAATTAAACTTACATTTAATTAAAATGATTTAACAATTTTTCTCATTTCTAAATTAATACACTTAATACAAATACAATTATTATTTAAAAAATAAATCCAATGATTAACATCTTTGTTTAAAACATTTATTTGAATTGTTAAAAAAAATGTTATAAATTAATTACACAATAATCAAAACACGATTTAATATACATAATAAACTAACAAATGAAAATTATAAACATTAAAAAATAATACTTTATAATTATATTACATTTAGTTATTTTATAAAATATTATGGCTTTTATAATAAAAGCCATATGGTTAATTAACTTATATGTCAATACGTCAATGATTTTACTAACATTAAAATTTTTTAATTGCAAATAACATAAATATGAACATTAATAAAACCCAAAATATAATTAGCTTAATCATATTTAAATGATAATTTATAATAAAAACATTCATAAAATAGTATCATCATTAAATTTCAATATTTATTTAAAAATCATTATTTTAATAAAATGCAATAAAAACATTTATATATTAATATCAAAGAAATTAATAAAGGTTCTAAAAATTAAGCTAAAAATAGAAAATTACAAAAATACAAAAGCAAACAAAACTGATTAATTAGTTTATAAGTAGTCTATTTAAGAAAATGGTTCATCACTTGATGCCACCGGTGGTGAACAGCTCCTGAAGTACTGACTGGTCAGCCATTGTGGACGTGTCGCCCAAATCGCGGTCATTTCGGACCACTTTAGTCAATATCCTTCGCATAATTTTACCCGATTTAGTCTTCGGGAGTCCACTCACAGCACGGATCA